GTATTGCATTGTCATACATGCACAAGGGAAATATTTCACTTATTTAAATGCGGAGGAAGTATGTAACTATGACATGAAAAAAAAAAAAGTACTCGTAGTATAGTAAGATTATGAGGTAGGGAGTAAAATAGTAAAACAAGTTTACAAAGTGCCTTCATAAAATTTTACGTAGTACAGCTAAAGCGCTAGAAGAGCAGTTTAAAGTTCATAAAACATTAAAACAACCATATACTGAGTAATAAATAAATAACATGGTTATGAGTAAAATAATAATAGTGGTTTAAAAAAAAAGTAAAATAATAATAGTAATTTGTAAATTAAGCTGTTTGGAAATTGAAATCCACCAAAAATACAGGTATACAATCGAAAAAATAACTCCATTGTAAGTCATGCAACTTTTTTTTTGCACGACCAATCAAGACATAGAAGCTAATAAGATAGGATCCCAGTGACATTATTAGTTCCAAATTTACCAATTGCAAGTTCTGGAAAAACGGTCATCACGGTAATTCAAATGTTACACTTTAATTTATCAAAAAAATAAATAAATAAAAAAAATGTTACACTTTAATTTCAAGTAAATTATTGTATAGTAGTTACATCATATGACAATTATACATTCGATCCAAATGCTTTTGTTGGCATATCTTATACTTCTTAATTAGGAGTCAGATGATTGTAAATATACGCACAATTAGCGAGCAACCTAAATTCTAATCTACTTTTAATACTACCTCTATTTCTAAAAATTCGACTCATTTACTATTCATGGAGTTAAAATTAAATAACTTTGACCACATTTAATGACTTATACAATATAGATAAATTAACATATGAGATCTTATTAGATTCCCCTTATTATAAATTTTTCAAATATCAACTTTTTATAATTTTCACTTATACATAGCCAAAGATATTCATGGTCAAAGATGTTCATTGGAGACCGCGCATATGCAAAGTGAGTAGAACTTTCAGGAACGGATGGAGTATTAGAATTGAGGAATCTTAAGATGAACAATGTAATTGATATCACTTTATCAGAACAAAGAACGTACTCGTAACTTTTATAACCATTATTGAACTAATCTGGTTATTATAATAAACGCCAAATCATCATTCATCGGACATTAATGATAATTTTCTTATTTCGTGTCAAAATAAAGTTGCAAGAACCCTAGGAGGTGAGTTGAAATAGAGTAGTTCATAAACAATTATTGGATGCCCCCAAATGAACAAGCTTAATTAGGAATATGCATGAAAAATTAAAACCAACAAAGAGAACCTATTAACGGATTATGCTTAAAGGTTTTGTCGGCCAGTTAGATTAGGAAAATGGAGTAATTAGCAAAAGTTATGGGTCACAAAACCTTTGTCTTTTCCTATAATCATAGAGATTTGATTAACATTTTACTAATATTATTATCTTTGAATCAATACCATACCATACCATACCATACCCTATAATTTACCTAACTTATATATCATCCCAACTATATATGATTACTGTGCTAAAAGTTGAAATTTAAGAATTTTCAAATCTTTCAACAGTAAATTTACATGCGTACGAAATATCAAATCAATTGCCTTTTTCACTTGTCTATGAAACTATACAATTGACATTATTTACCCCCCTCCCCCATTTAAAGGAATTTATGTCACTATTACCCAAAAAAAAAACCAATAATTAAATTATTGGGTCCCTTCTAAAAGATTGAGTTTACATATATTGGTTAATTATTTTAATTAATTGATATTATAATCATATTATTACAGAATATTTTACCTCTCTTTTGTGTCGACGCTGTAATTATGACGATGCATCACATGTTTAAACAATGTTCTTCTCAATTTAATAATAATTGCACGTTGACTAACGTGTTTAACATTTATAGGTTTTTGATCAATATCTCTTACTAGTGTAATCTATATTTGACAATTAATACAAAGGAAATGTAAGAGAATTATATTGTTATGTACTTCCCTGAATGCAAAATTTACATGGTAAAAAATGTGACAAATAATGGTTGCATGCTAATAATTTGAGTTTTAAATTTCAATTTTGGAAAATTGATCTTATGTTGGCCTGATCTTATACACGTGATGCATCTTTTAGATATCTAAATTATTTATATACAGCACCAACTTTTGTAAAACACTAAGTAAAACTCATGGACATTTTTTAGGTATTTATGTGTACATTATTACCTCATCCCATTGCTTATATAATAGAGATTAAACTTAATTAACTGTAATTTGGAAAACTATTTAAAGCCAGAATAGTTTCTATAGTAAAAGGTAAATTGCTCAGCATCTAATTGTTGGCACAAGCCACACAGTTCCATCAATTAGAGCTATTTTCTACATACAATCCTACTTTTAAAGAATTTTTGCTTAGAGTTTGATAATTAATGAATTATAAGGGTGTGTTTACTTTTGGTCAAATGTACTTTTTATATCTATCATTTCTTATATATATTTGGTTGGAAAATCATTCGTAATACTGATTTATTGACTAACAATTTTCTTATCCAATAATAAATGACAATACTCACACTTTTTAAACATCATGCCAATAAACAAAATATAAAAATGAAAAAGCTTTAACCATATATTTCTTGACCTAAAGTAGTTTTTTTTAAGTATTTCTTACTCATTATTTTGGAATAATTTCCATTTATGAATACCCTCGATCGTTAGGAATTTCTAAATGACCATTAAAATTTTTGATTCTAATGAAATTTATCTATTTCCTTTTTTTTTTCTTTTTTTTTTTTTAAAAAAAAATTATGTATCTGTTTCTTAATTTCAAGTCCATTACTTACAATTTTAATGGAATTTCAGACATATGTAGGGGCAATTGGTGACTTCAATTGACAAGTAGGGGGCAGTTTGAGATATCCAAATCTTAACAAATTTATGTTCCTTACATATATGTGCCTTTTATTTTATCATTTTATGATACAATTAAGGTTTGCCACTTATTTCAAATTTGTATACTCCATAAAATTTATTAAAAAGCAAATTGGACAACTTTTGTTTTTGTTTTCAAGTAGTAGCTACTGTTTTAACTATCAGTCAATCTCAAAGATTTTTGCTTATATTTTCTTGGTCTTTTATAATCAAATCCCTTTGATCGATCCTTTTTATTTTTCCCATTTAAAATCAATTTGTGATTAAGCCAAAAAAATTCGAAGTGTGATGAACAACAAATTAAAGATTGGAGGAAAAACTATTTTTTATGGACTAATTTATTTCTCTTGAATTTGGTCCACAATTATGCTAATTATATGTAAAGCCAATTTTCAAGAGAAGTATGGGTTGAGCAATAAGGCCTTCAAAGAGCAAATATAGTATTGAAATGCATTTAGTAACTGAATGAGTTCATCACCAAAATGTCAAAAGATAAAATTGAAATGACTATGTTTATCTATTAAATTTGAAATGACTATGTATCATAATGATACTTTAGATTTTGTAGTGAAATTGAATAAACACCATAAAATACTTTTTCCAAGTTCCATTTTAATTTCTTTACTCTAAGTTCAAAAAATCTAAAAGTTGAAAACAAAAAACAATAACGAAAAAACTATTCCGTATTAGTTTTCAAAATCCATGTGTTTAAATGTAACACATTATTTATCATGGTCTAGTATTATTCACCTTACATCCACTTATGTATAACTAAAAAAAAAAAGTTAATTAAGGTTTACCAATGTCAAGAAAAATTAGTCCAAATAAGTTATAATAAAGGTTATTCAAAATCAAGTTACAACTAAAATTAATGTCAGTAAGTTCAATTAAGGTTTCCCTCAAACGAAAAAAATAGTTCAATTAAGATTAAATAGTTTAGATAAATGGAAATTAGGCAAGAAAAAAAAAATCACACATATAGTAAGTCTTGCCAAAATCTCTTCTAGAAAAGTCAAATGATAAATCTAGCCCCGTTGCAATTGGAATTTTATCTTGATAGAAGAATTCTTTTGTAGTTTTGCCTGTACAACAGTACATTATTTGTTTGACTAGATCAACTTCCGTAATTGAGTATGTAAAAGCTTACTCAAATAAGAATCCAAAAACAAAATAAACCCTAAAAACACTATTGATCTTTCTATTTGCATTCTACGCATGTTCTCGTGCATCTAAATTTATATCTTTAAGATATACATAGGGACGAATCAACTCTGTAACAAGATTGTGCATAATTATTACTCGTGTAAAGTAATTATTATCACTATGTCATATAAATTACCATTATACGGTTATATTTTCTTTGTTTGACATCATAGATAGTAAAAACGAAAATATTATTTAAAGAACGGAGAGAGTAATTGGAAATTGCTATCAAAATTTTTCCAGTGGATGTAGAGCTCATTTTCATCTTTTTCAAAACAAATTACCAATGAAATATCAATGCGTTATAAAGATAAATGGGAATTAATTAATTGAATGAAGAAATCATTCACCATTTGTACAAGAATAAAAATTATAGAAATGTACGCACACCAATAATCAAAATCAAAAGGAGCTTTCTTTTCAATCTCTAAGCTAGTTCTATTCAAAACTATAATATTCATTTCTTTTCACTTCTTTTAATTGCTATATATCCTTTTTTTTTTTTTAAATCAATCATTAAAAACGAAATAACTAGTTTTGTACTCAATAATCATACAATTAGCTATGGTTTCTTGCTACCACTTGCAACTAGCACATTATAAACCATATATATACACTATTCAATTTCCTCTCTTATTATTAGTATTTGGCATTGATGCAAAAATTTAGCATAATCTTTTTTTTATTCTTCAAAAACAGAAACCATCATTTTTTTAGCTCCATAATAGAGCATACAAAGAAATAACGTGTTTTCATCAAGAAAAAAGGTCACCCTAACTTCATATCCGCCACAACTTACACATTTTAGGCATCTTAAATGATAAGGTGCGTTGAACATTTAAAGTATGGAGTGTCCAATATAACGGCAAGAAAAAAAATCACAAAGATAAAGAAGAAATAACAACATGAATAAAACATAAAATTCGGGGTTGCATAAAACAAACTAGTATATGAAACTATGAATCATCATTGTATGATCCAATGAAAAACAAAGGCAATTAGTAAAACCATTACTACTCATCCAATACCAATAGATTGCTAGTAGTTTTGCAATTATGTGTATAGATATATATTACAGTTACACTTGAGCTGAGGCCTGAGGGTGAAGAAGTAGCATATATAGAGAAGTACTGTAAAGACTTACTAAAGATGACATCTTCATCGTCGGTCGTCGTTGTCGTTATCATCTTCATAAGGGGGAAAAAAATAAGTGGAAAAAAAAAAAGAAAAGAAAAAACAGCTAGCAGAAGCTCATCATATGATTTGATCTTCATTTTTGCAGCATAAAAACCCTCCTCAGCTAGTACAAGTGATTGTCATTAATAATTAATTTGTTGTTGGTGGACCCATTCCAATTGCCTTTTGCTTAGGAGGAGGCCTCTTCCTCTTCTTTTCATAGCTAACGCCTCTGGCCTTAGCTTGATAATCCCTTACCTCCCTGAGGTAAAGGCGGACGGTCCGAGCCCCAAATGGGTTAGTCTCGGGTCGTCCGCCATGCTCCTCGTAGGCCGCTCTAAGACGGCCTATGAGAGCATCCAAACTGCCCCATGCCTGCCTAAGCGGACAGGGGCATGGGGCAGGAGGGTTGGGGATACCAAAGTAGGGACAGGCATGGTTGTGAACCTTAGTCTTCCCGAACTGGTCCAAGTACCTGAGGAACTCCAGCACTTGAGCTCCGCTACATAGTGATAACGGTAGCGGAGGCCGGTGGCTCCTCAGGTACTGACTAAACGTGTTCCAATCCCTCCTCTTCTGGTTCTCATACCTGCTAGGGAGGGATTGGACCGATCCCTGTTGTCGTTGGGGGGACGGCTCATTACTCCCAGAGTCGAACCCCCCAACGGCCACACCACCCCCAGATGTGGTAAGGGTAAAGGAACTTCCATTCCCACTTCCACCTCCACCACCACCACCTCCGAAACCACTATACGAATAGATAGGATTATTACTACTATTCCCATCAATATTCGCCATCATAAAATCCATCTTATTGTCAAAATCAAATATCGAGTTCAATAAAACACTAGGGTTACCTCCCCCTATTCAACCCTTTAGCTATAGACTAAAAGGGATGGAGAACACTTATTACAGATCAAAAAAAGAAAGACAATTTGCATGGATGAAGAAAAGATTTGGAAGAAATTAAAGAAGTTACATATAAGGAATAAATCCCATGTTTCTTTTTATAGGAACAGTAGAAATAGTACTAGAATAAGAAGATTTATAATTTTATTTTAGGGCAGGCAAAAATGAGGGAATTGAGTAAAACATTAATGGATTTCCTTTTCAGGGCAGCCAAGAGATAGAAAGATTTATAGAGAGAGAATTAGAAAGAGAAGTGTGATCCAATGAATTGAAAGAGAAAGAGAAAGAGAAAGAGAAAGAGAAGGAAGAAAGGGGGGAAATATTGTAGAGTGTTGAAGTTGTGGGGACAGAAATAGTAACTACTACTAGTAGTAATACTGTAGGAGTCTGTAGTATGAGAATTGAGAAAGACTGTCTGTTTGTGAAATTTTAAATAAAATATACTGTATACAGATTCAATCAGTAAAAAATATTTCAGACTGACTGTGTGAGAGAGTCTAATACTGATTTAGACACGTTTGTTTGTCCCCATTCCATTTTTATTTTTTTACCTACTTGATCTGCGTTTACTTATTTACTCGTACTCCCACTTTTTTTGTACTATTAGTCTGGTTCTCTGGTAGTATTACTCTCTTCGTCTCGTAATAATCGCGACACTTTAACTTTTGCACTATTTCGTATTTATACGTTAACTTTGATTATACTTTTTATCAATATATAAAAAAAACATATATTGTCATGTAAATTATTTTAAGATTAGTCTTTATGTATATTTTCATTAGATCAAGATTTTATAGTTCTTAATAATATAATATATAATAGGAAATATTAATGGTCAAAGTTGTACTTTGGCATTTATATCGGTCAAAGTGTTGCGACTATTATGAAACGGAGAGAGCAATATTATTATGTTCCTTTCCTTTGCTCTATACTCGTATTAACTTTGAACAAATGGCACAATCAAATTTAGTAAATATATCTAATACAATACTTCTTTCATTTTTTTTAAGTGTCCAATTGACACTTATCTATACTATTCATCTGACCTACTTTGACTAATGTTTGTGAATTACATAAGAAAAAATATAGTTTTGTGGGTACTTGTTGAAATCGTCTCAATAATATTCAGTTGTTGTAATTTATACATATTAATCTTAAAAATATGTTAGTCAAAGTTCTGCATTGACATGTGTGCCAAGCTCCAATGAATCACTTTAAAAAAATAAAAATAAAGGGAGTACATTAATTTGACCTCTAAGGATAAGTTTATTGGTGAGTCTTGAGTAGAGTCTTGATTTAAGACTCACATATGAGTGATATGACTATGTTTTTTTTGCAATAAAGTGGTGTAAGACTATAGGCAGTCTTGAGTCTACTCACATAATATGTGTTTTTTGCAATAAACTCATCTTAAGACTCTACAAAATGAAAAGACATTTTTTTTTTTATTTTTTTTTATGGCCAATTAAGAGTTGTCCACTCATCAGCTCAAAAAAGTTGTTGATATTTTAATAATGATGTTAATATTTTTGTAGGAGAGTAAGTAAGTATGGAGTGAGTTTTGGGATAATCTGTTAAATTAGAGAAAGTTTAGTATGAGTCTGAATAATAAAAAAATAATTTAAAGTTAGTGGAATGTTGAAGTGGCAAAGTCTAGTGTATGAGTATGAGTCTGAGGATTAACTTACCCTAAATGATATATAACCAAACAAGGACCTGTAAAAATTGACGTATATCTAATTATCAGACTCGAGACCTAATCTAGACTCGAAATTCAAGGCCCAAACCGAAAACTAGGCTAAAGGACCCAACAAGAATTGATACCCAAAGTAACCAAACGAAAATTAACAGATACTCGAAATTACTCGAATCAGAATTACCTGATACTTGAAATTGCGTAAACCTGAATTGATTGACCCAAACAGACTTCAATCGTAAACAACCTAACTGGCTTGATTTTTTTTTTTTTCCTGCTTTGTAATATGCAAGTATAAAATTTTCATATTTTGATTATTTCTTTTCATCGATCTTGAATTTGTTAATCAAGTCTAAAGTCGAAAAACCCAATTTATTAATTCTAAGTTTGAAATACTAGAATCATGGTTTCTCTTACTTAGGGGCTGTTTGGTTTGCAAAGGGAATCAGAATGGAGTGGGGAAAGGGTATGGAGGAGAATGGAATGAAACCCTTGAAATTTAGGGTGTTGTTTGTTAAAAAAAAAAACGGAATGATTCCATGGAACCACCACCACAACACCACCATTTTAGGGTATTATTTTGACTTTTTTTTTCTTCTGGAAATTGGTAGTTTGGAATTCTGGCGGCGACCAGCAAGGTCGGAGGAGTGTCAGCGAAGGTGGAGCGAGGTCGGGGGAGGTGCAGCGAGGTCCAGGGAGTGCTAGCGAAAGTGGAGTGAAGTCGGGGGAGGTGCAGCGAGGTCGAGGGAGTGCCGACGAAGGTGGAGTGAAGGTCGGGGATCGCCGGGTGGAGCGAAGGTTGGGGGAGGTGCAGCGAGGTCGAGGGAGTGCCGACGAAGGTGGAGCGAAGTCGGGGGAGGTGCAGCGAGGTCGAGGGAGTGTCGGCGAAGGTGGAGCGAAGGTCGGGGATCGCCAGCGAAGGTGGAGCGAAGGTCGGGGATCGCCGGCGAAGGTGGAGCCAAGGCCAGGGAGAGCCGGCGACCATCCGCCGAGGTTGGTGAGATGTGGGTATGGTGGTGGTTGGGGAAAGGGAATGGTAAAGGTAGGGGGGTGGGGAATGGGGGTGGAATAAAAATTGGTAAACCCAAAAATAAAAATGGAGAAAGGGAATGACAAAAGTTGCAAAATAAACGCTTACAAAGGGAATCATTCCCTTTCCCCATTACAGCGAACCAAACGGCCCCTTAGATTATTGTTTTAGTCTAAGTTCGACTTACATGTGTTTATCATTCACTTGAGTGTATTTTTCGTTTTCAAACATATTAGGACTCTTTATATAGAGTTTTTTTTTATAAAAAATTTCATTAATATTGAAGTATGTTTTAGGAATCTAAGGTCATGTTCGCTTCATCTTAAAAAATAATAATTAGTAAAAACAATTTAGTTCTAAAGAAATAAATATAGTTCATCAATAAAAATAAGTTCAGTTTCATAAAATAATTTCAATTCAGTAAAAACAATTTCAGTTTAGTAAATATCATTAACTTTAAAAATAAAATTTAATTGAGATCAGTATCTATAAAAAAATAATTTCAATTTAGTAAAAATAGTTTTAGTTCAGTAAAAATTACTACGTATTTCAGTTAAAAAAAATAATTTCAATTCGCTTAAAATAATTTCAATTCAACAAAAATAAGGTGAAAAAAAAGACCTAATTATTTTTTATTTATAAATTTTTGTAATGCATATCTAATGCCTCGCATTTCTTTAATTAATTTAGAAAGCTAAGGTTTGGAGTTAATGGTGGGCATTAACTATTTAACTATTAAGATTAGGTTTAAAGACTTTAAATCAAACATAAATCAGAGACTTGAATACCTATACCCTCTAAAATGCGATTTTTGATTTTGATTTTATTACTTTTTTAATTTCCACTTTAGTTCAATCACAAACAGGAATATTCAAATTTCCCTGTTAAAATCCACATCACTAACTAAATCCAAAATGACCCGGGATTCGAACGAAAGTCTCGACCATAATTATAACCCGACCCATAATGACATGATCCAAATTTAACCCGAAGTCTCAACCCAAAAATTAAACCAACTCGAAGTGATTCGATCCAAATTTGACATGACATTGTGTAGGGAATATTTCAACACTCAACTTTGAGCCCCACTGTGATTATGCACTTAAGCATGGTGGTGTCCAAAGGGAAATAAGCTAGAGATAAAAGAGTCGCCAACAAGTTTTAGGAAGTTGTAAACCATTCACGGGTGTGAAGGTTACACCCCATTCACGATCACGAAGATCGCTAACTCCATAGTGGTCCAGAACCATGACTGAATATTCGGGGATGATGGTACGAATCCAACCTAAAAGAGATTGAACCCGACTTAAATCGGACTCTACTTAATTCTTATGATATTCATGTGCGCTTTTCGATCAACATACATACAACAAGTTAACCCTAAACCTGTTTAATCTACGTTGGTTGATTATCAATACACAGATAAATCTATTATTGGCGATCACTTGAATTAAAATCATATTAAACCAAAACCAAATTATTAATTATCTTATTAGGCGTGATTTCAAGTACAAATTCCCCTTTAAACCTACAAGAAAGGGCGTGATCAAGCAATAACAATAAATAATAAATAATCAAGCAACATGATAATAATAAGGAAAAATTGCGAGGAAGGTCCTTTTAAGGAGGCGACCTTGTGAGGAAGGTCCTTTTAAGGCATTTGGGCTGCGAGGAGGGTCCATTGACCAAAACTCTGGCGTTGACTCCCATTTTTTGGCCAAATTAAACTCACGTGCACAACACGTGACTACGTAATTTAGATTTTTTTTTTCTTTTTTTCAATTTATTTTTTTTAATCCTTCTTCTCCCACCTCACCCTCTTCCTCCAAGTGAACCACCGTCACCATCACCTCCAACACATCACCTGAATTAAGACCAGCGTCAACAACCACCTTTCCTCTCACGTAAAGCAACAAACTTCCGGCAACCGCAAGTCCGCAACAACAACCGCATCAATTCCACCAAGCTCAAACCTCCACAAATTCTGTCTATCATCCACCAACCGAACCACCAAAACAAATTGAAATCAACAATCCGTTACCCAATTTCATCTATTCGAATGGCCAATTCCAGAAAGGGCAAGGAATTGAAGGAGTGGGGGTGCTAGGGAAGAGACGAGGGTAGCGGAAGGGTAGGTTATTATGGGCTGGTTGTGGGTTTTGTTGGTGGTGTGTAAAGGGCGGGTGCTGCTGTTGGTGGGTTGAGAGGCGTTGCTAGTGGTGGGTTGAAGGGGGCTGACTGCTCAATTGATGCCGAGAGTTATGGTGGAAAGGAAGAGGAAAGGGTTAGGTGGGGTTGCCGGCGGCTGGGTTGTCTGCAGGTGCTGGGAGCTGGGGATATGCAAGTACTCCGATAGTCGCACCATTACCAATTCAAGTGGGGTTTTGAGGCTAGGGGATTTGGGATGGGGTTTGGACATGGCACTCCCTTCCCCTTCCCTCTTCCTTAATTTAGGTGAGGTTTCGGAGTGGGGGTCAGTTTGGTGGTGATGGGTGGTGATGTGTTGGAGGTGGTGGTGATGGTGGTTCACATAGAGGAAGGAGGTGAGGTGGTGATGGTGGTTCACATGGAGAAAGGGAAAAAATAGAGAAAAAAAAATTTCTAAAGAAGTCATGTGCCCAGCACGTGAGTTTATTTTGGCCAAAAAATGGGAGTCAACGCCGGAGTTTTGGTCAATGGACCCTCCTCACAACCCAAATGCCTTAAAAGGACCTTTAGTGCCACCTTTTTCATAGAAGGACCTTCCTCACAAGGTCGTCCCCTTAAAAGGACCTTCCTCGCAATTTTTCCTAATA